AAGGTTTGACAATAACTTTGTGTGCCAGGATGACAGTGCCCACCATACATGTATTGTACATGATTATCTTAACCAGAAGGACGTTACAAGATTGCAATGGCCAGCAAAATCTCCAGATTGCAATCCCATTGAGAACTGTTAAACAGAACTGAGCTGGAAAATTGATAATCACAACCCTAAACCAGCTACTGTAGCTGAGTTGCAGCACCTTCTAGTGATGACAAGTTGGGATGAAATCATGGTGTATTACATTACATCAATAATCTTATTGACAGCATGCCACGTTGCCTTGCAGAGGCTATTATAGTACGAGGAGGACCAACCATGTACTGAATGTTTAATACTACCTGATATAAAATTACAGACTCTATTTATGATAATTTGATGTAATATTTTGTCATTATAAATGATTTGGTAAGGTTTTGTTGTGATAAATGAAATGGTGAATTACACATCTTTCTACAAGTGTCTGATAAAATTGTTTGCTGTTCTAATAAATCGTTCATGGTGTCCATAGAACAAATTACATAAGTAGATGTTTAGTATAACATGTATTTCTCAATTTGATAGTGCTAAGCTCATTTATATTCCATCTTAATAATAATTTCTTATAAAATATACAAATATTTTGTCCAAGACTGTAAATAAGCATAAAAGTATTTTCGTAAAAATAAAGATATAAGTTAGCAATATATGTTGAATAATGAGCTCCATTGGAATTCCCACAACTTGCTTCTTAAAGACAGTGCATTATTAGAAGTTATTAAAGACTACAAAGTGATTTATTCATCTGGAGAAATGAAGTGATAAGTTTATCAACCTGGAGATAACTTTTAATTTTTATCGCCGGTGATTTGTCTTAATAATACACTTGTTTCTTTTTATTTTATTTTTGTAGAAATGCATTTAACAGCTCTTTTCCTACGCAAAATATTCATACACTCAGACGTAAAGGTGTATTCAGATCGGGGATTATCCCCTTCACTTAATGGCATTGCAAAATAAAGGAATATGGATCAACCTGGGGTGTCAGGACTATCCAGCACATCATATCTCAGGTGTGGTAAGTAAAGTTTGAGAATCAAGGGAAACAAAAGTCAGTGTAAAAAGTCATACATGTGTCACCGGAAACAGTATGCAACATAATAAAGAAGGATTTCTGCCTGAAAAAATCGACACAAGTCATGCATACACAAGCTGCTTCCGTGTTTTTATCCATTCAACCGTAACTAACCTCAAGTAGCTGAATAATGAAGTGACTATTCATGCTATTTCATACAAAGACATATTGGTCAAGTTATTAGACACAGCACCTATGAATTTCTGTAGATTATGGAAAAATGCAGTGAATGTGTGTGTTTTGGACATGATAGTCTTATGATGAGGCCTTTTGTGCGGTGTTTCAACAGGTGAGAATTCACCAACACAAAGGACAATGGCAAAAACCATCCATGTGCACCAATTAGTAGCTGTCTGGAAAAGTGACACAAGTTGTTTTCAGAACATATCTCTTCAACTGTCGCATACCTTAAGCAACTGGAAAATGAAATGGTTATTTATGCTATTCCATATGAAGGCATAGCAGTCAATGTGTTTATTGAAGTGTGTATTTTTAAATCCTAAATTAGATGGATCATGGAAAGCATGACTGGAGAGTTGTGTGCTTTGGAGATGACAGCCATACGACGAAGCCTTTTGCAATAGAAACTTACTCTGTAGGGCTACTCTCAAGATGAAAAGTCGTCAGAAATAGTATGACCAGATGAGAAGATACAGTGCCTTGCAAAAATATTCACCCCTGCAAAGTTCCACCTTTTATTGCTATCTGAGCCTTCAATCATGAAACTTTGAAATGGGACTTTGTATTTAGAATATACAGAATGTACTCCAAACTGAGAAAGCTAAATAACGCTGATACTATGTAAGTTAGGTTCTCAAAGAAAATTAGAATATTCTCAATTTCATAAGTATTCACCCTCTTTACTACAGCAACCCCAAATCAGTTCAGGTGTAAAATATTAGTTTGAAAGGTCACAAAATTAGTGTAATGGTCTGTCTGTGTGTAATCAAAGTGGTTTAATTTGACTTCAGAGTAAATGCATCTGTTTAAGTCACAAACCACATAGTGATACAACAAACCAACCAAGAAGACCAAGGAGCTTTCCAAGCAAGTCAGGGATAAAGTGGTGGAGAAGTGTTACAAGGAAATTTCAAAGTAGCTGATTATCCACTTAGATCAGACCACCCTTGCAAACTAAGTAGCTGGGCAAGCAGGAAACTGGTTAGGGATGCCACTGTGAAGCCAACATTGATTTTGAAAGATTTGCAAAATTCCATGTCTGAGATGGGAGTCAGTGTTCGTACATTTACAATATCTCGGTCCCTACACAAAGCTGGCCTGTATGAGCGAGTGGCAAAAAAGAGGCCATTACTGAGAAAGAATAATCTTATATTCCGTATAGATTTTTTGACAAAGCAGGTAAATGATACTGCAGACATGTGGCAGAATGTTTTGGGGTCAGAGAGAGAACAGTTGAGCTTTTTGGTCTAAATTGAAAGTGTCTGGCACAAGCTCAACACAGCAGATCACCCAGTCAACACCATCCCAACTGTCAAGCATGGTGGTGGCAGCATCATGTTATGGGGATGCTTCTCATCAGCAGGGACTGGGAAACTTGTCAGGATCGAGGGGGAAGATGGGTGGTGCAAAGTGCAGGCGAATCCTAGAGGAAAACCTGCTTGAGTCAGCCAAGAATCTAAAATTGGGTCGATAATTCACATTTCAGTAGAACAATGACCGAAGCCACATTGGAGTGGTTTCAAAAGAAGAAAGTGAATATCCTGGAGTGGCTCAGTCAAAGTCCTGATTTGAATCCATTTGAAAATTTATGGCGATACTTGAAGATTGCAGTCCATCAACGACCCCCAGAAACTTGTCAGAATTGGAGAAATTTTGCCAGAAAGAATGTGTAAATATTACACCACCCATTTGTGCAAAGCTGGTAGAGACCTATCCAAAAAAGACTCACAGCAGTAATTGCTACGAAAGATACTTCCACCGAGTACTGACTTAGAAAGCTGAATACTTATGCAATCAGCAAATTTCAATATATATTTTCTTTGCAGGTATTGCTGACATTCAACCTCCTTCACATATAACAGTGTTAAGTTTGATCATTAGAGTTTTGAATAAAAACAAGTTCATGAATAAAATTGTTTACATTATTTGTATTTCATCAAAATGTGACATTGGTGAATGGTTTTGCAAGGTTCTGTTGCCACATGATGTTGTTTTAGAATAACTTACTTAACCCTTTGCACTCGATATAGAACATTTCACAATGACGCGATAAAGACTGAAATATAATTGGACACATTACGAGAAATATGTAAAAAACACATCTGCTGCTAATATAATTTTTATCACAAAATTTAGGTCTGTTTGTTTCTACCGTTAATGTAATTTTTAGCATAAATTTTAAGCCTAATGGTTTCTAATGCTTCGCCAGCTTTCGGAGTTTAAACTACAAAGTTTATGTTGTTGAAGATTCCTTAGAAGAGTAGAATGAATAACCAAAAATTTTATAGAAAACACTGGATAATAGGAGACATGAAAATTGGATTGTGTATCAAGAAATATAGGCTTACATCAATGTTACTTTGCCCGTACAAAGTGATGAAAATGTTCAAATCTGCCTCTTATTCATTGTATGTTAGCGGGTTTATTTTATCAAGTGTATTATGTATTCTATTATTAAACAGTCAAATGCTGAAAAAGCCCAAGATACATTGCTTTACCCCAATTTTTAAAACTGAGTTAAATTGAAATAATATGTTTAAAGGGTTTAAACTTTTATTTTAAAGCAATACTATGTTAAGAGTTTGAACCACAATAATTATAGTTAATTAAATAGAAATACCATGAGAGGGCGCAGTGGTCTTAAAAGAGTAATTGGCACACACACACATAAACATGTAGGTTTAAATAGTAATCACGTATGACACGTTAATTACACTTTAATTACAAGAGAATTCTCTAAATATACAGATAATTAAGACATTATATATATATATATATATTTGTATACAATATACAGTGTTCTAATAGTAAGACACGTAACACTACAATTTACACTTGTTTGATCAATATCAACGTTCACAAATATTTACACTATATATCACTGTAAACTTGTGACGTAATACAATACGTATACACTTAGGCCTAATATGACGTCATCTGACGTAACAAAACTTGAAGCAGGTGTAAAGACAACAATTGCAGTGTTTCTATAATTACATACTAAGTTACTGGCTCACTTTTTACGATAAAACTAGGAAATGTTGGTACATTATTCTATACATCTTTTTATGTTACTACAAAGTACTTTAATTAATCTTTAGTTTATACAATAGTGGAGTTATATATTACAAACCACTCACAGCTTGTTCTGATTTTAGTTCTTTCAATTTAAAAACGAGTCTACGCCAACAAATTAACTGATAGTACAAAAAATAACGATATTTTGTATTATAACTAGACACACGTAATTTAAAGAAACCCATATTTGACGTCAAACTACTGAATAGTAGATTGAAAACGTAGAAAATGACAGGCATTAAAAACTCTATTTGAACATCAGTGAAGCTAATAAACGATACAGACAAGTTACTATTTGACTATTATTATTAAACTTTGAAATTTACAGCTTTAATAAAAATAACAATTTAGACACGAGGCTGCGTGAACATTCCAATTTAAAACTGGCAAAGAAATATGGTTACAACGTTTCTTCTCCAAGAAAAACAAAACTCGCAACTCTGCTTTAAATTTCTTTCCCCGTTTTATGATGACTGTTTTGAGCTTTTTTTTAAAGGAAATAAACTTGCAAATAGAATAGTTTAAAAAACGACATCGTAAAGAACCGGATTTCTAATTTTGCTAACTTAGAAAATCGCGTTGTTCATCAGTGTTTCTTGGTAAAACCTGACGTCACGAACTGGAGATCTGAAATGAGCACTGATGATCATATAACCAGGGTTGACGACGAGTACACCGGATCACAGATTCAGATATTGTTTCTTTATTCGCAACAGTTACAGTCACTGATGTACGTTAGTATCACTGATCTGATCACTACACGCGCCGAGAAAATTAGTGTTGATTGTTTCCATGGAATCTTCGGTATCAGTGTTACGGTCAAGACTAGCCTCTTGTCGCAGTCTGGTCAACTTGGCATGTTGTGCATCAAAATGCTGCTTTCGCCACTTGATCCGTCGGTTTTGAAACCACACCTTCACTTGGGCCTCTGTCAAGTTGAGCGCCGAGGCCAGCTGCAGTCTCTCCGGCCCTACCATGTATTGCTGCCGCTCGAACTCGGTCTCCAGCCGGTCCAGCTGTTCAGCGGTGAAGATGGTACGCACACGCTTAGCTTTGCACGCTGGTTTCGGCCTGATACTGCCGGCGCTGTCTGTTTCGTGTTCCATAGGGTTGGCAAACGGTTGTTTAGCGGAGCCAGTCTTTGCTCTGTGAGTCTTGCCAACGTCTAGTGAAAAATAAGGTAGATCATACAATTGAAAATAGGTCCTCAGTAAAACACAAAATCTACCTAATCGTATTTCAAAACCTAAGTTCCTTCCTGTTACAGTAAAATTAATTTAATTAATACCTGTTGCAAGACGATCGTCCAAACATGTCGTGATTGAAAATATTTCTTTGGAAGGTCTTTTTCAGTGTAATAAGTTTGAAAATAAAAGTCACAATTTCACGTATAATAATCAAATTAAGATGTTTGAATATAGAGGTTAACCTCATGCATAATAAAAAAAAAAGGTTGAAAATAAATACGATATATTTTCGCGCATAATATTTTAAGTACATTATGAAAAAATGCACTCAAAACTGTTGCTGTCAGCCTTTACATCGTATCCATTACACTAAATTAATAGTTTCGTTTTCAGTTTGCTTACTATTCTTTAAAACAGGTACGACGTTTCGATCACTGGTGTGTGCGTTTTTAACCACTACCTCACCCCCTGTTAATGGACCTTCAAATTTGGCATGATGGTTTGTTGGCTCCATGCGGATATACACACAAACTTGCGGTTTCACATTTTGTGTTTTGCAGTTTTTTTATAGGCGTTTTTTTTCCAGTTACATATAAGGGAAGCAACTTTTCATGTTCTAAGATAACTTTCATTAAATATGAATTTACATAACTCCCGTCCAGGGGACGGGTACTGCAGCTAGTATTATATAGGGTACGGGTACTGAAGCTAGTATTATATAGGGGACGGGTACTGCAGCTAGTATTATATAGGGTACGGGTACTGAAGCTAGTATTATATAGGGGACGGGTACTGAAGCTAGTATTATATAGGGGACGGGTACTGAAGCTAGTATTATATAAGGGACGGGTACTGAAGCTAGTATTATATAGGGGACGGGTACTCCAGCTAGTATTATATAGGGGACGGGTACTGCAGCTAGTATTATATAAGGGACGGGTACTGAAGCTAGTATTATATAGGGGACGGGTACTGAAGCTAGTATTATATAGGGGACGGGTACTCCAGCTAGCTCTTAATAAAGTAAATCAACCTGTAATAAAAATACACAACTAACTTACGCAAAAGCAAAATGGTAATCCCCCTCATTGGGGTGTGTGTGTAAGTATATTGGGAACAAAATAAATGGTTTTTAGTCTTAATCATTCGTGGCCTGACGTCAGTATTCGAACCCATGATTATCGGAACATTTGTTGCAATTTTCTGGGTTGATGCTACAGACAACTGCTAAAATATGTAGGGAGAGTTTGGAAGTTGTTAACAGAAACCTCACTGTTGATATCATATCATTGGTACATATAGCACGACCCTTCATCACGTGCTAGATACTTTATGATCCAGTGTGTATATCAATATAGAAGCATGTACGAGCGAAAATACGTTACGCAAACACGATCACGTGGCAGGTGCAGTGTGTATCGAACCTAGAAACGTAAGTATAGTCAGTATGAAAGATGTGAACTTTCACACAGTTTCAATACATTACTTTTGAGAAGATATATGACATAAGGTATATGCCACGATATACATTAACTTCAATATGTAATATTTCAATCGTGAAAGAAGCAACAGTCCTTATATACATGTGTATATTACCCTTTAGATTCGATACGACTATACAAACAATTTCTGTCTAATGTCACACTTTGTTTGAGTACTACCTTGGTATATTTCTACTTTTTTACAAACGTTTTTTATTGAACAGTATTTTATTCATAATGGCTGTGTTAGTATAAAATACATTAGCACATGTAACCATGTTTGTCTGTGTCGTACTGTGTTAAACAAAACCATAATAAAGTACGTTATTCATAATGGCTGTGTTAGTATAAAATACATTAGCACATGTAACCATGTTTGTCTGTGTCGTACTGTGTTAAACAAAACCATAATAAAGTATGTTATTCTTAATTGTTGTGTTAGTATAAAATATTTTAACTCCATGTGTAGTAACGTGTTAAAACTCAGGATGCATGTGTTACTATAACGCATGTAACCATGTCTCCATGTGTAGTAACGTGTTAAAACTCATGATGCATGTGTTACTATACAATTTGTTAACAATGTAGCCATGTATCTATATGTTGCGGTGTAATAAGTAACCATTATAAACCAAGTTATTCATAATATTAAATATGTGACATATACTAAATGTTAATATATATATTCCTGTGTATGTGTAATACGGTGTGTTAAATATTCGTATGTTATTTATAACACGTTAATGTATAACATAATGTCTCCGCGGTGCTCAAAACATATTAATATTCATATTGAATACGAAGTCTATTTACCATCCAAACAAGAGGGAATCCTCACTAGCCGCGGCACTTGATGTTTTTGGCTTTTAGGCAGGATTAGAGTAAATTAATCTATGATACCTCCCTCCTCCCTTTTTTATTAGCTATAAGTTTGTGCGCCCTGATTTCCAAGGGTGGGGTGCGTGTATACCAGAATTCGATTTTATTACTCATCAAGACCTCTACGAGCCTACCCTCAAATTGAAATTCTTTAAGGCAAGATTAGAGTCAATTAATCTATGACACCTTGGGAATGGTCAAATACACCAATCGAAAGGTTTGACCTACTGAGTCCGAAACTGTAATTAGATCCAAAATCGGTCAAGAGGTGACGGAACTATGAGCTAAAAGTTTTCTACTTGAAAAAACAAACACATTAATATTGTTGTTAAGATACTACAAACAATAACAAAACCATCGTTATCAATGTACTATAAACAAAACGTTTTCCGTTGACTAGAGATAAGCTCTCGCTAACACTAATATTTTGAAATGGGCTGCCACGTTTTGAGATATCGTTTACCAGGTTTTACATACCACGAAGTAATCTGTTCTAGGTGTAATATCCATTGCCAACGTGGAAAGACTGAACACATTTTGCTACTACCAAATTATTTCTATTAATAAAATGACATGTGCCTTTGCTTTTGTGTTCCCGATATCCAAGCTGACCAATGCACTGCAGTAGCATTGCAATATATTTTACACGTTATATAAATACACAATTATACGAGTTAAAAGGTGAGCATGTTACGTGGAATAAAATAAATAAATAAGTGCAAAATATGACTTCACAATGCCGCTATCACCCTCTTATGATCCTGTTCACATCGTTAAGACTTTTAAGGCAATAAAACTTAAAAACCACTTGCACTCAGTCGCGGAAAAAAAAGGCCAATGTTTATACAAGTGTACTGTTCAAGTTAAAAGTTGCTAGGTTTTAACTTTTCTATAACTTACCTGGTTTCGATGTTTTTATTCGAGCCGCTTCTGTGTTTGTAGAGTAGGGAGTGGTACCTTCCAATCGCTCGTGCCGCGTGACGCGAACTGGTCCGGCTAAAGACGGCTGTTTGGGGCGGGAGCCGTCACTACTTAGTCCCAGGATGGCCTCAATAGTGAACGACGGCTTTTTATCGTGGTTCTTATTCTGACTGAGAGCAGTAGTGAAATGTCTGATCCCCGGGACATTTACTAAAACTGGCGGACTTACAGGGCTCAATGGAGCGGCGGAAGTCACGCCGAAGTACGCTGGCCAAGAAAAGGTGTACGGAAAAGGAAGCATCGTTGTCTGCATCTCAGCCGTTCGGTGTTAGTTTTAGACTATGATATATCTTCTACTAACCACGAGCTTTGATCTCTCTCAGAAAAGAAAGTGTACCCTAGTCTGTCGTCCCTTAGAATTTGTAGCGGCTTGACAAACAGTCTCTGTGGGTGGTCGCTATGTCAATTAGAGGCCATAACCATCCATTGCCCTGTCCACTCCCTTATTACCCCATTCTCCCCTTCGGTTATGAAGAAGGCGGAGCTGCTGTTTGAATTTCAACCAATCACTGCTTAGAAGTGCTGTTATGAGTTTTAATCATCCAATGAGAGATGTCAGTACCAGTGAGGTAACATGTTTCTGTGAGATCGAGCATGTATTACAAAAAAAACCGTCTAAATATATTATGAGGAATGATGAAACAATACTATACGATAGCCACACATCTTAAAACTTTGTATCGTAATTGTTTTAAAACGTTTCTTCTGTAAGACTCCTAAGATGAACTGGATTATTCTTGGTATTACCTCGATGTTCACTAAACAAATGACAAATTCTGAAACCTACTGAACAAGAGTTGTTTTTAGCATCCCATTTTTATCAGAATGGCACTTGCACGAGCGACGAAACATTATGGAAATTACGAGAAGATTCCAATATTTCAAATCTTTAGCACACAGCCATATTATTGTTTATAACCCTAGTTACGTTTTAATCCTCCCATTCTTTAACCGAACTCGTAACCAAACTGAGAGGTTACTGGCACAGGGCTGTGTTTTTTTTTTTATATTTGGTGTTAAACCTAAACAAAATTATGTACATACGTATATAGCATGAAAATCACGAAATGTTAAACCAGAAACATGTAGGAAACATATTACACGTAAATTTATTCCACTGTATACGATTTGCATTTCATACTTATGACAAAGTTACTAATATTATCTTCTCCCGTCTGTAATTATGTACTACTGATCAGAGAAAAGTCTGTAATTATGTACTACTGATCAGAGAAAAGTCTGTAATTATGAACTACTGATCAGAGAGAAGTCTGTAATTATGAACTACTGATCAGAGAGAAGTCTGTAATTATGAACTACTGATCAGAGAGAAGTCTGTAATTATGAACTACTGATCAGAGAGAAGTCTGTAATTATGAACTACTGATCAGAGAGAAGTCTGTAATTATGTACTACTGATCAGAGAGAAGTCTGTAATTATGAACTACTGATCAGAGAAAAGTCAACCAGTCGGCAGAATTTTACCATCCACACCATATATAAGGAATTGAGTAGCCACAGCTTAAAGTGCCGAGAATATTTTGTGGTATCACGTGGATTCGAACCCGGATCGCTAGCTCTGATATTCCGCATCTCCACTATATTTCACTTACACAGAACCAGTTCCAATTCTCGTATAGGGCTTAAAGGAAGCACCCAAGTCGAATTTTGAGTTAGCATTAAAAATAATGTTTAAAAATTTTCGAATGAATTAATTGACACTGGTAAACAGTGTTCAACTAAGAACTCTAAATAACAGAGGAACATGTTAATAAACAATCTGGAAATTAACTGTATGAGCACCGAGGCCTTGTTAAAATTTCTCACAGAAAGCTTAATTTCTTATATGAAGCTATGTTTATACCCTACACCCAAAAAATAAAACTATTCATGTTTTTCTTCACATTTCATCTTTTACTGTTTTGTTGTTCACTTCAATTATGGCAACTGTGTTCGTGTGGTTTTATGAATGTCAGAACTCGTCAATTGTTGGATATCAGACCAACCCACCAGATACAAGTGCTAACTCATGTTAGTGTGTTCGGGTTCTTAATGGAAAATTTGCGGACACTCCAACAGACAACGAAAACGGTCGTGGAAGGTCAAGCACTTCACGAGGAGACAGCTTCCTGGACAAAATTCTGTTAGGTATCACCGATTGATGTCGATATAGATTTCAATACAGCAACTGGAGTGATTAACATATATCATTAGTTGGGCTTAAGACTCAGAAGACCTGTTAACCACGTTATGTTTTATTGGACTCCGAGATCACAAGAATTGCTATCAATGTCATTGGCATCTGTTCACTTTACATTCAGTGATCCACAAGTTCAAGTTTGCAGGACCAGAGGTGAGTGATATGCTTAATGTACGTCATGATTTTGAATGTTTAGTTATTGGGGGTGATTAACTCATTGATCTTGCAGACTTTATTGCCCTTCTTGGAGATGTAATAACTACTCGACATTACCTAACTTGGTGTTAGACCAAACTGTATGACCTTTTGTTTGACCTGATGTCCAGTATAAATATACTGTCGGGATTGTGGTGGACTACCTTTAACAAGAATACAGGACATTGTTGAGTTAGCAAAAGGCCAGTTCTAAATCCTATAGAATAGCTCTGGAATTTTTCTTGGGCGCAGTGATATCTATGTCTACCCCACTAAATGACGTTACACTGATTAAGATATGGAATAGGACAAACCTGTGAGAAACGCGACATTCAATGTATAAATTGCATAAATTGGGGGAGACAAGTTGATTGAGTTAGACCCTAACCCTGACCTCTTTGAATCTCGTGTACCACAGGTTGTAAGTAGCGGTACATTGTCTTTGAAACTGATTCAATAAATAAGAAATGGAGTTTCAACAATACAGTCCATTTTGAGGTCTGCCATTCAGTTGGTTAGAAATTCAACAATACAGTCCAATTTCAGGTCTGCCGTTAAGTTTCATCAGAGAAGACCTTAACAGAACTTGCTTTGTTACTGTTTACGTCATAAGTTATAGGAGGTTTCGAGTTTTTGCTGACATTTCTTCTAGATCACTCTGTTTTCTTTTTTATATTCTTCTATTAGAATAAATCTAATTCACATTAGTCGTACGATGAATTAGAATAAATTCTGAATTCCTTGAAACAAACCAGTAAAATTTGCAGATGTTCTTTATACGAGTGGACGGAAACATCCGAGTGCTCATTAACACAGCTTTCAATAAGTGAGTTTCCTTCACACTGTTATATTGTAAATCCAACACGTGAGCGCCACCTATGCCATGAACGTTAGGCTCCCTTGTGATGGTGAAACCTTTAAGTACTCCTTATGTGCTGTTAACATTAGAATATATGTAGCTTACACTTGAAGACAGGTGCTGTAATTATCTAAACAAATGAATTCATATTAATTGTTCACTAAAGCTATCATATTTCGTTATTATATAATCAAGTTATGTTTTCTTACAAAAGTAATTATTTCTCGATTGACTCTCAATATTTTTTGTGTTGTATGACTTAATAACCGTAAACTAATACGGCTACTTTTCCTATTTTTTCTCTCTCTCTCAGCAAAAATGAGCAACAGTACGGATAGGATAGCCTGTTAGAGAAGATTGCAGGTAAAGTCGGTTAGGCCAAAAACACGTGCCCACAGAAAACGTTGACAGGAAATAGTCCGTAACTTGATTCCCTCAAGCTCATTTTTCCATTTCAAAATAGGTTGTTATGTTTATGCTCCATCATACAGTCTTATGTTCAATCTAACCTCAATAAAAGAACCTAGGAGGACATTTCTGGATACAGTTACGCCAGAACAAACAAGTCTCATGGAATCTGACACTTTGAGGGCCACACACATGTATGCTTATCATATACACAGTTTATAATTTAAGGGAATTGGTTTGCGAAATAAATGTTTCAAGTTACATTGTTTTTTTCCGTACAGATTACAACATCGAACAGTAGCCCGTCTCTAATGGTAACAAACTGTTTGATGGTCGAAATATAGGTAAAACATAACAACACTTGCTTAAATCTATTCTGTCTGATGTTTTTAATAGTTTCTACATATACAGCTGCATTCCAATGTAAAAACGAGGAGCGATATTTTGTTTTTAAGAGACCAGTTGTATAATTTGGAATGGAGAATAAAAGCGGTTCAAGAAAGTTGTCCAGTTGTAACGATTTCGTTTCTGAACGTTGTTGGCTAGCAGAAGTCGTTTGGCGATCGGTTTTTGACGTTGCAAGACACGTAGTGAATTTTTCTTGTATGAGTTGGTTCATATGCAAATTTCATCACAGCGGCATGTCTGCGGACTTATACCGCTAGAAATCGGGTTTCGATGCCCGTGGTTGGCAGCGCACAGATAGCTCTTTGTGTAGCTTTGTACTTAACTACAAAATAAACAAACGTATTTAAATGAAATGTTAGTCTTTGGTCGTATAAACACAAAAATATAAAATACGATTCTTTCACATCCTGATGGTTTTTGAGACGTAAAGCCTGTACCATCTCATAGTGGTTGGAGACGGCTTGAATGGGTAATGAAGAAAAACTTTAATAAAAGTTTAACACAACAGCAAATGTACAACGTTTCTGTACCGTCAGAATTTACTCTTTGAAAATCTTATTACAAAACGACCGCTAGACAACGACCGTCGACGTTCGTGTTCTGGTCTTTCTTTACGTTTACACAATTGAAGATCAAGTGGCAGTGCTCTCATCTTCTGGTTAAAAGTTGGTTTTATTAGCTTAATGACAAGGGATTTTAGCATTCTAAGGTGGAATTTTTTCCATGAACAAATAACTAAATCGAATCAACGTCAGAGACAACTGTGTCCAGCAAAAGCCTGTAAATATAGTATCTTGCTGTCCATAAATACGAAATGATGACTTGTTGCTACATTGCATATATAGTTGATGCTCTGAATGTGTAACAGTGTTGCTGTTGTTATTTTACAGTAACGTCATACCCATTATATGTAGGGGGTGAGTGGGTGGAGGGTGAAACATTGAACTTGGCAAGTATGAGTTTTAAATCTAGAAGAATTTATAAACTATGTAGTTTGCTTGAAACCAACGAAATAATTTCATCGTTGATTTGTTTTATTAACCACTCTAGTTTGTTCCCCGGTGGCTCAGCGGTATGCTTGAGGGTTTATTACATTAAAATAAGGGGTTTAATCCGTGTCATACAGGATACAATGCACACAGCTCACTGTGTACCTTTGAGTTAAAACGAA